ACTGACTTTTATAGTAAAGGCGAGATGGAGGTGTGAGTTTTGAGCCTGGGGCAGCAGGAGGTGCCCGAGAGCTGGTGACTTCACTGAAGTGTGGCTGACCACGTTTGGAGGGCTGCTGGGGAATGAGCTGTCCCTGGAGGGGATCGAGGGACACAAATGTGGGTGGATGGACAGAAAAGAGAAGTTCCCCTGAGCTGTACCCAGGGGACCTATGAGAGGTTACTGGGGCATATGAAGAGGATGTGTGGGCGGAGGCGGAACAGTCCAGGTGACAAGCTGTGGTGGCCTGGGTGGGTGTGGGCTGCTGCGAGTGACCTGTGGGTGTGTTTCAGGACTGGCACAGCAGGGTGGGTGGGTTGGCACTGTTTGGTACTGCTGGCTCCACCGAGGAGAACTTGGATTGGGTGAGGTGGCTGGGGAGAGGGCTAAGAAATGAACTGCAGCGATATGGGACCAGGAGGTGGGGAGGGTCAACCCTCTCAAAGTGGCCTACTGAAGGGTGGCTCCTTTCCAAATGCAGTCCTCTTCTCTCCTGTTCACCACCCCCCACTCCCCACTCTAGAACCGGAAAGCAGAATGTCTGGTCTGGTCCCTCCCACCCCACACCAGGCCCGGCTCCTGCACCGTTGCCATGGAGATGGGAAGCAGTGGAGGGTACTGCTGACTTTGGGGGAGTGGGGATGGGCTGGGGGGAGGAGGGTTGGGGAAGGAAAGACGAAATGTTTAAGGAAGAGAGTTCCAAGAACTGTAGGCGAGCAGGCATCTAACCGCGGGCTGAGGACCCCTCCCCCTCGTGGGGACCGAGCTCCTAAGTCCCCACGCCCCAGTTGGCCTTGTTGCCCAACCTGCGGGGCTCCGGAGGAGACTCCGGGCCTCCAGTTCAGTCCACTGACCGCCCTACACCACATACCACCTGGCTGTATAACCTCAGCCACTCCCCCTCGGCTGACCCTGGCTGACATCCCCTCTTCAGCCCCAGCTCTACAGGAACCGGTGGCAGGTGGGATGAAAGGTCAGCATGGGCCAGGCACCAAGAGCGCGGGGCTCCACTGCCCCAACACCCAGGACAGCTCGGGCCCCTCCCCCTCCGGCCTTGAGGGAGGGAGCGGGCACACTCCGCCGGGGCGGCATGAATCAAAAGCTCGGCGGCTAAGAATAGCTGGCACGCAGCTGGTACCGAGACGGGCTGAGGGATCGGCAAGGGGCGGGGGGAGCTGGCGATGGGGAGAGAGGGGGTGCCCTGCGAGGCTGCTGGGGGACAGGGGACGGCTGGCGTGGCCAGGAGCCGGGCCCCGGGAGAATGAATGGAGGTTGAGGAAGGCGGGAGCTGGGGCTGAGGCAGGAAGGCTGGTGAGGGGACAGCCCCAGGTCAGAGAGGGAGCTGAGACTGGGGGCGGGAGCAGAGGGGGCGCGCCGACCCGCGGAGAAGGGACCGGAGGTGCGATGGACACGCGAGGCGCGAGTGGGAAGGAACTGGAGACGTCTGTAAGGGACGGCGGGTCTAGGCGGCGTAGGATGCTCTGGCCCAGACCCCGGGCTAGGAGGGTTTGGGGCACCAGGGTGACCTAGGGGAGGGGCTCAGGTGCGCCAGGGTGGGCGAGGCGGGGGAGTGGCCGAACAGGGTTGGGAGGCGGGGACCAGGACCCAGTGGTAGCCCTGAAGAGCCTAAGAGACCAACCAGTACGGCTTAGGGGGCGCAGCACGTGGGGGATGGGGCACACCCTCCCAGCAAGGATGCGATCTGGGACGGGGCACCCGGGACTGGGTCGCAACCCAATTTGATGCCACCCGTAGGGGCCACGCTCCCTTCCACACCCGCACTCCCCCCCACATACACACCCTAAATGCACACCCAGGCTGGAGCCGGCGCCAGGCCAAGGACATCCGGGGCGCCCCCGCCCTCTCCCGCAACCCCAGCTCTCGCAGCTGCACCCTACCCCAGAAACCCCCTGGGGTGCCCCGTGCCCTTACCTGCCTGGCGGGGCTGCTGAGTCCCGGTCGGCGGCGCCCGCGGCCCCTCCCCCC